ATACGCTACAGGTTTGATGACAGTGGAGGTTTGCAGGCAGTTAGTGATTATTTTTGACATTTTTAATAATTAACTGCCGTCGGGCTCTCTCTCTTCTCTGCGTCGCTCTGGCCAGTGCTCAGGAGACGGCCAATGAGTTTCAACAGATTGCCACTGTGTGAATATTTAAAGAAAACACCATGAATAAATTAATGGCTCACAGCTACTGTACATGCCTTGCGAACTTGGACAACAGAAATGTACTGTGATGTAACAATGCTCTCTAGCACTGTCCTAGACACGAAATACTGAAATTAGAATGAGACCATATCATATTCAGGTTGTGTAATCTGCCCTTGGATTCTAAAAAAATATTGTAGATTCATTTAAATGTAATTTTTTTTATTGCATTTGATCTTTCTATATTTCGTCCTATACCTTTTAAATGAAAAAATAAATAAATAAATAAAAGTTATTTAAGCATATACTGAGACCAGTCATGTGATAAAAACAGAGATAGTTCAGGGCCATATTCAGGGCTAGGTGCTTTATTGTAAAACTGTAATTATAGAACAGATGACAGTCTTAAAGTGATAGCTTACCCAGAAATGAAAACTATCATTATTTAATCACCCTTGTGTCATTCGAAACTTGTATGACTTTCTTCTGTAGAGTTATTTTGTAGAATGTCTCAGCTACTTTTTTCCATACAATGAAAGTGAATGGGGATGGAAGCTGTCAAGATTCAAAATGACCAAAACACCCACAAAAGCACCATAGAAGTGGCCTATATAACTTATTTTAAATCTTTAGGGCAGAAAGAGACTGAAATAAGACTGACATTTGCTGAAATACACATTTAGTTTGAAGTACGGAAGTGAAAATGAGATTTGAGAGATTTTGAGTGAAAAACTCCACACACAAAATTATAATATGGCTTCAGAAGACTTGTAATATACACTGTAAAAAATGTCAAAGTTGTAATTAAAGGTTATTGGTGTACATTTTACAAGAAAATACTTTTTCAGTTTTTCTACTTAACAATTTCAAGTTTAATTCAATGTGTTAAGCTCAATGAAATATATTTTTGAAACGATATTTTTGAAAATATATTTGATTTCAACCTTCATATAGCAAAATATATTTAAAAATGTTTTAGTATGTTACTTGCTCAATTTTATTCAAATGTGTTATATATTTTAAAAGAAAAAATGTACTAATATATATATTAACAAAAAAATATACAAAAATTGCCAAAAATATATTGGTAGAAAGTTTTTTTTTTTTTTAAATATATGGGTGGGTTCCTAGCAATTTCTAAGTGAAAATTTCTTCTACATCTTATATTTTGGGTGCTTTTATCGAGTATTTTGTCATTTTTGGAGCTTGAAAGCCACAGTCTCCATTTACTTTCATTGTATGGATGACAGAAGACATTCAGAAGAAACTAAATAATATGAGGGTGAGTAATTGATGTCAGAATTTTCATTTTTGGATAAACTATCCCTGTAACATTTACACCTGCTATGTTTGACATTTAAATGAATGATACCACGTTTGTTTCCACTAGAAACCCAAAACAAATTTCAGCAGGGCACGAGACATGGCCATGCACCTTGACTCTGAATTAACTGGCATTCACTGGGTACACAGAACATACATGCCTAATACTATAACATCTAGTTCTCACTCAAAAGGTTTAACCTTTACATTTTAAGCTTACCGTGTCATTCACAGGCACATGCACACATAGAAATACATTGGCTATCTCATCCAATCAGGTTTCCTTCTACCTCGACTTGCACTGCAGGCAAGTTCGATCAGCTCAGGGGTTAAAAGTCAACAGGGTAGAACAATATTGTGAGCAGTTCCTACAAATACAATGTGTTTCGTTGGTTTGTGCCTCATCTACCGATAATTCGCTGCTCACAGATAGAGATAAAAGTGTTAATCTACTGTATAATCATAATCCCTCTAGGAGGCCTGCAGGGAAATATAAGCCCTAGTTACAATAAGAGAACCGCTGACACCCGAATTCTTTTATCATCTCATTTCAAAGTTGTGGAAACTTAACTTTACGTCAAACAAAGACTGAGCATGAGTCAGATTCGGGCTTCATAATAGAAGCTCGCTGCTACCTATGAAAACAGACCTAGCTTTGATGGTTCACTAAGGCCCTTGTGCATTATCATTCATATTAAACTATAACCCAGTGGCACTTATTTTCCTGCAACAATCTCGCTGGTCAATCAATAATGCATCCCAGAGTTCAATTCGAGATGGATGAATATGCTTTATCCTGCACATAATATTGCGGGCAATCTTACAGTGCAGTCGTTGGTGGAGATAGAATTACCAGCCACTAATCAGATGCTAAAGAGTGAGCGGCGATTGTTCGCATGCATGGAGGATGGCTTAATATTACAGGGAACATTAATGGAAGAGGAAAGGTAAGCAAATATCTGGTGAGATACCTGCTATCAGGCAGTTAAACAATTTCCGAAAAGCCCGCATGTCAATAATGTGACTGCCCTCAGCAGTTAGGAAAGTTCTGCTTTATTGCCGATTTACATAGAAATTGCTTTATTTTAGACTCGATGGGCTTTTTTTAACGCATTATCTGCTACTCTGTCTTATCTATAAGATGGCGAGGTTCTGATTAGAATTATACACAATCAGGGTTGGAGAGCACCTTTCGACTGTGAAGTGTACTGAAGTTGTCTTAGGGTTCAGTCCTATAGAGTTCTGTTTCTATTATCTAATTAAAATGCAAGGTGATATTTGTGAAAAAAATCACAGCAGCAAAGTGCATCAAGTGCAGAAATAATAATATATATAAAGAAAGCCCAACCACATCACTGTAGAAATGATTATTGATAGGAATGTGATTTTAGTGTTAAAGTGTTTGCACACAGTCCATAAGAGTAATTATTATTTCAGGAGAACAAATATCACCCCTTGGGCTCCAATTATTTTCATGCATTGTCTCCCTTAGCATCTGACTAGGTCTGGTTGTTTTGCCTTTGTTCTTTCTTTATTTTTTATCTATCTTTGTATTTTTGTTCTTTTTCTAAGAGGGTTTGCACTGTACAACTTTAACCCAAGTGTTATCATTTTTGTAGCAAGCTGTGAATTGCTATTCACTTATGAATGTTTGATAAGCTGTCTAATCTCATAAAAGAGTGACAAATACCCGAACATATTGAATCACCAAGTGGATACCAAATGTACATGATGCTGAACAACATCTGAGCGGCTATCGATGTATTAAACAAGCTGAGTAGTTTGCAGTTTCACACTAGAAATGATTCAGTGAATGCTTTAGTCAGCTTCTTTTGATCCATTTTTTATTTATGCTGCATCTAATATATTATTATACCAAGAAATATTATTTAATAATAATATTGTATATATACACATACCTGTATGCACATATTGTAAATATAGTCCTGTTCAAAAGTTTGGGGTCAAAGTTTTTTTTTTTTTTTTTTTAGAAATTAATATTTTTATTTAGCAATGTAATTGATCGAAAGTGACAGTAAAGGCATTTATAATGTTACAAAAGATTTATATTTCAAGTAACTGCTGTTCTTTTGAACTATCCTTTAATCCAATATAATTAAAATAATAAAAAACATCACTGTTTCCACAAAAAGTTTAAGCAGCACAACTGCTTTCAACGCTGATAATAAAAAGTGTTTCTTGATAATCAAGTCAGCATATTAGAATGAGTTCTGAAAGATCATGTGACACTAAATACTGGAGAATGGCTGCTGATAATTCAGCTTCATCATGGGAAAAAAAATCAAATTTTAAAATACATTAAAATAAAAAATATATTGATATTGAAATATTAAATTGGTAATATTTTACAATATTCCTTTTTTATGCTGTTTTAAATACTATTCAAATAAAAATGCTATTTTTCACAAATAAATGCATGCAATTCAATGTTTATATTTTTAAATGCAAACAATAGAAGACAAGGGGTGTGTTTAAGAAACCTGTTTGGAAACGATTATTATTTTGTTGTTTGGTATTGATAGCTTTAACAAAAGCTCAAGGTCAAGCTCAAGGTCTCAAGGTTAGTCAGATCTCACTGAAAGTGTCAACTTTTAGTAAAGCGCAGATATTCCATCTTCATTTTCCCTCGTATTGTCACTTGCAGACCAACCAGATCTGCCATTGTACAGGCATTTGCTATGCGAAAATCATCATTGTCAAAGGCAACTTAAAGTTTACACTAACTTTACAACTAATTGGCAGCAACATAAAAGGGGAATTGAAAAATGACAGAAGACACGCTGCTTCCAACCCCCCTTTTGAAATTTGTCAAAATGTTTTCTCTTATAACGGGAAAACAAAGCATTCGCTCGTTAACGATGAAAGAGTTGCCTAAGTCCCCTGTTGATTGACGATCACTGAGATGTATGACACCTCTCAACTTGTCATGGAGGAGTTATTTGTACTCGGCTGCGATCCGTTCTGTGAGGAGAGACCATATGTCCCGTCTTAATTAGGCCTGCAGTGATGTTTTTAATGACTTCTACCCCATTACGGGCAGAGCGTGCGCTAGTGAGAACGAGAGAGGAGTTTCAAATCTTCCTCCCTGTCACTTTTGTCTGAATGCGTGTGAGCTCCAGGAAGTGTGCTGCTTTTTGTCGGATTGTGATGTGTGATTTGAGATATGCTAAAAACCCTCTGAAGAGCCAGGGAGGAACTTGGGGGTTTGGAGCGAGAGGAGTCAATGGAGAACAAATGCAACTTTTCCGCCTAATCTCCTCTCTAAATTGTTTTTGTATTGCATGCTTCATTTATATCTATGAGGGTGCACATTGTGTAATATATTTAATTAATGGCATCTGTTATGGAAAACTAGGCCAGACTAGTTGATGGGAGATGTCTAGTGCACAAAGACTGATATAAAACACTCATACAGAACTTAGTTATGCTCTCCCGAAAGGTTTATGTGCTATTCAACTGTTTTATTGCACCTCAGATCTCTAATTCTGATTCCCCTCCAGACGACTGTGAAGAAAGGAATCATCTCGTACCTAGATTTGGCGTTCGCACTTGGAGATTCATGACAGGCCGCCGGTACATGGAGTATTAGAGCTCTCACTTACAATGCACAGATCAAATTTGAATTTGGCCTATATTAAATGATATCCCTTTCTCTGATGTGTCTGTTCAGTACAGCATAGAAGACTGTTCACAAGGCTGATGGTGGCATTACCTGCGTTCGAATCACCTCAAGATAGAATTGAAAGTAAGTTTCTGAATAAATGTAATTGCTTTGCCATAATGAGGGTATAAAATGTTATTAATATTTTAATAATAAGTCCTATTTTTCATTTCTGAAAACCACTACGGGGCTCCTTTTCAAAGGGTTTCAGTCAAAACCCAATGGGAGATTCAATTGACTTTAATCTTGCATTCGTTTGAAAATTTGAGCCCATTAGTTAACTTTGCCTTTTCTGTGCAGTTTTCATTGCATTTCAATGAAGCCGCTTTCCTGTGGTGTTAAAACACTAATAGTTGCTTCAAATAGTAAATGAGGAAAGGATATATAGAGGGAGAGAAAGTGGGGAAGAGAAGAGTTGATTACCTAAAAAAATTATATTAAACATCTGTGTTTTATAGAGGTTGGAATAAAAAAAGATCAAATACACAGCTACAGGGTACAGGAATCAAATATTTATATGCTTTAGTGAATAATTTGGGGATTGAGATGCAACTATTAAGCATTCTGCACCAAGCGTGGTTCGCTGACAACATATCAATTGTGCCAGGTGCACCAGCTAATTGGTGAAATGCATTGTGGTCGCTGGCAAGGGAAAGTCAGGGGACCGGCCGTAATCAAATAAAGGGAAGGCCTGAATAATTCTTTTTGAAGTGCTACGGACCTCATGAGTGCGACGTGACTCTAATTAGTTTACGCTCGGCACGTACCCACCCGCTGAATTAGTGAAGACCCCCATACACCTGCTCAACCCACTCGGGACCAACGATATGATGGAACTGTATTTTAAACCAGAACATTTTGAGTCACTTCAACTAATTTTGATTCGCTAGTGACCAAATCTCCAAAGAACAATCTCAAAGAGTGCCAGTGCTTCATCGGATCTCCACAGTAAACCATCTTCTCGCTACCTTTCCATATAAATCACGTATAGGATGATTAAAACGTCCGTCTTATGAAATGCTAATGTGTTAAAAGCACTTTTTATTTGACATCTGCTAAATAACCATTAGTGCCCCCCCCCCCAAGGGTCAGCATTTTGAACCCTGGCTGCTCAGCTTTGAATAAATAAATTGTCATTATGTTTTTCATCGTCTGATAAACAGCTCTTTTTCGCACTCAGAACCACCATTTAAGAAAAGTAGGTCAAGAGCAGAGGCTTTAAACGACAAGCCAATACACTTCTCTGCTCCTTACTTCTCTACTAAAAAAAACCCTGCAGACTAGCAAGCCACCCCAGTGGTTTATCTCAGACCTAACTCAGCACTTGCACCAGTTAAATACAAGTGCACATCAAAGGACACATCCAGATCAGATTATTTTGGATAAAGTTATTGTTGGTTGCAATGCAGCAAATGCAATATGAGACATTAGGAAATATTATGAATTTAAAGTGATAGTTGTTCTGTGTTATGATATTTTGGCCCTATAAAAATGCCTATGGTCAGATTAAATGTAGTTTATTACATGATTTTCTGGAATACTTGAATCAGGTTTATTTATTTATTTAGTTGCTGTCAGGTGCTTGTATCACTTCAAGCTCCGTCTTCTCATATAATAAAATCTAATTTTATTAAAATCAATAATTTTATTAATTAATAAAATAGAATTATTAATAAAAATGAATGGGTTTTAGGGATGCACCAATATAAAAACAAAAAAATAACCTCTTTGATACCAATTATCTGTTAATTATTTTTTATTATTATTTTTTATAATTAAAAATGTGTATGTATAGATAGACGAATGCACTGATCAAAAACAAAATGTAAAAAGAATATCCAATAATTATTTATATTATTTTTATTATTATTTTAAATTATTTGTCTAAATATATTAAACATAAAATATATAAGTATAGTATAGAACAGTATAGAAACAAAAATATAAACTTCATATGTACAATGGGTATTGAAAAGAATCACCCCCCTTTAAAATAATCACATTTTGTTGCTTTGCAGCCTGAAATGAAGACAGACATAGTTTTTGTTTTATCCAGCTCAGTGCAACTTATAACATCCAAGTGAAAGATATAACACCAACATGTCAGAAAAGAAAAAAA